AGAAGTGAATTTTTCTTCCTCCTTCTGGCACATTATACAACTGTTTCTGTTTCAGAAGTTTTATTAATTACAGAAAAAAGGCAATCATTTTTGGCGTTCAGTGAACATTATCATCTCCATGTTTGGAATCTTTCTCCTCAGTATCTGAAAGGATGCTCATCAGACTTGAGGCATTAAAATCTGCATTGAGATCTAGAGATTGGATCCCTATTTCCAAGGTACACATTGTGAATCTGAATTGATGTCATGGTGTTAAGTAGATAGATGGTAGTTTCCTGGGTTGTATGTTCACAGTAACTGATGATATTTTTATCAGGCTCCTTGTTTTCCAGCTTACAGATCTCATTCCACCTTTTTTTTTTTTTTTTTCCTTTAGACACTCAGAGAGTTGCTAGCCCTGGTAGAAAGCAGTAACCTGGTTTGTGTGCCGTATTTATTTGAATGTCATGGCTTCACTTTCCATGTTTTTCACTTGATTCTGCTTCCTTTAGTTCCTCTGTTTGTCAAATAGTAAGCTTCTGGTTCTTCTGAGTCTGTTGAGCTTTAAGAGGAGAGATGTATAGGAAGACTGGCCCTAAGAAATCAAAATTATAAATTATGGTTTTTATACTTATTAGGTAACTGAACTCTGGCTTTCCTGACCTATATGCTTATTACCTGTCTGTCTTTGGTCGACTGCTTTGATGAAATAGATAAAAAATACTTGCTTTTGAGTGTCAATCATCTACCCCATCCTGGGGGGGGGGGGGCGGGCACCTGCCAGTCCCATCCAATAAGCTACATTGTAAAATAATTTGAAATAATCCTCCATAGCATGAGTATGTCTTTCATCCTTTCTAGCATAACCAAGAATTTTCCTTTATAGTGTGATGCTCTATATTATCCTGGAGAATTTCTTTGGGCTGCCCTCATTCCTGACCTCTTTGTGAATGAAGCTCATATATCGGCACAAACCCAGCAGCAAGTTCTCTATCTGATCACAGTGTTACCGATGTGATAGACCCAAAACAGGCGGAATCTGATGCTGCTGTGCAGCCCCCTGGGGTGCAGGGCAATAGCCATCAGATGAAGCCATGTTAAAATGTACTATTACTTCCTCTCTGTGGGCACAGTCTAGAAAACACAGCCAGAAGATTCTTGCCCCTTTAGTCAGTTTTATTCACTGGTTCTCTTTTTCCTACTCCAATAACCAGCATACAAATGTCAGTGAGTCAGACCCGCAAATTCATGGGAAACCACAGATGTTGGCTGGTGCCGTTTGCAGACGTGAAGAACTTTTAGGCAGTGTGAACTCAGGGTACTTTTTTGCTGAGCAATGATCTCCAGCCACTGGAAATCAGGCCCCAGGGGAGCAATCTAGTGATTTCAGTATACTTACTACATGCAATTAGATCCCCAAAGCAGAAGCTTTTAAAAGCAAGCCATAAAATGCCCATGTATCTTTATTAAAGCTATTTTCTAACTAGATGGAGAAACTTCTCTAGTAATTTTTAATTTTACAAAGTCTTTTTTTTTTTCCTCTAGGCCAAAGGGGGATAAATGTCTGGGCACTAAAAGCTTAGGTATAACAGTGTTATGTTTTTCTGTTTCTAAATAAATGCAATCTCATCCATTTGTAATACTGTAATTGTGGCAGCATTAGATAATGCTGGTAGATAAAAAGAAAAACTAAGTATAATGAGGTGTAACTATTTTTACTCTTTCTCTAAATTAAAAATTCCTAATATATTTAATCAACAATAAAAATACTGCAACATTGTTTTTTTGAAATGGAAATAGATTTTTATCCTCAAGCATTAGCAATTCCTTGTTGTGTTTCAAAGTCAGCTGCTAAGCCTTTTTTAAAGCTTCTTGGCGACTGGGTGTTATGGCAGAAATCAGAGTGTTCATCTTGTGGCTTTGTTTCAAAGCTCACTGTCATAAGGAGTTGCAGTCAGGATGGGACACTTGTCAGCGTCCTTGCTCAAGGCAGGGACAGGGAGACCTCCAGGATGAGAACCACACTCCCTGATGAGGAGATTAAGAGGGAAGAGTGAGGTTAATTTTCATTATGGGATCAAAAATAAAAGAAGTTCAAGTCACTCTCAGTTGTTTTGTGCTTGCTATGAAGTTTACTTGTGGGAGTTTCCTTTGGTTGCTGACATCTCAAAGCGGGGGTTTTCTGTGACCGCTCAGGTCATCCTAATGGAGGGCAGGGCAAAAATCTTTCATGACAGAACATCTAGCTGTATTTTATAGTTTATCCCCTTCTTAACCAGGTATTGGGGATGCTATGTGAACATTATGAATTTTTCAATATCTTCCAGTAACCTTTGCCGCTCCCAAGCTGATTTAAAGGGGGAATGAAGCAGAGTCTGGAATGCACATCACAGCCTCCTGCCTCTTGGCCTGCCCTCCTCCCACCACCCCCATCTCCCTCCCAACCAGCAGTGGCCTCTGTAGTCCAAGAACCCTGCAAAGGCATAGCCTTCCATTTTTCTCTGTGCAACTCAGGGCCAGAAGGCTTCCCCCCACCCCTACCCCCAGGAATAAAAATGTTTCACCTGTTAAAGATGCAAAGCAGGTTCATTCTGCTACACAATTTCCCTCCTACCATCTCATAGTCTCTGGGTGCTAAATTAATAGATTGCAATTTAATTTGAATACTTGGGAGCTCTTTATGTTTGGGGGTCATTTGGACAGCACTTACGGTAAACCAAAAGGAGTTCTATGTGGAAGAATTGCTACTCAGAAAGGGCATTGACCTACCAATTAAAATGAAAAGAAAAAAAAATCACCCAAATGACATGCACCTCTTGTGCTTGCTTCTAAACTGACGAAGGAGAAGCAGTCAGTCAGCACTTTTGAATTCTATTCCCAGGTGACTGTTCTTTACCATGTCTGCTCTGTTCTGATACTCATGCATTCTTTATTTTCCTTTTAGATCTTAGTCTTTGACCTTATTATCTCCAGGTTAAGATAAACCTGAACCCTCCCCTTTTTCTGTGCACCACCCTTCAGATCTTATTTATAACCTCTTTTTAAGCTGTTGCCAGAAAAAGTTAAGTCCTATAACTGTGTATTTGAGGGCACTTTTGCATCTGGGCACATTGATGTGCATATGACTTAGAAAACATTGAGATTCCATTTGAATTAGGTAGATGAAACTTTTGAAGCCATGGGCCAAATAAAGACCTCAGCTTTCTGTGTTTTTCTGCATGAAAACATATCCTCATTTCTGAGACAGATCAACTGAGAAAACTTTAAATAATTAAGTGAAGATTATAGCAGGACTCTGTCACTGCTCCCAAAATAGTGCCTGGTCCTAGATAGCCACACTGTTTTCTGCCTTTAGGAGGAGAGGAAACTATAGGGAAAGCAGAGGGAGAAACGGAGAAGAAGAAAAGTTTTTTGCTTTTTATTAGATTCGCTGAGGCATATGAAGTTTTTAGGTATTTCACTCCTTGTCCAGACGTTTTCTCAACAGTCTACCAGAAGATACTGTCTACTTTTTACCCAAGAAATTACTATGGCAAATGCTGCCTATTTTCCCAGAGAAGCAGTGCCAGCATCAGCAGAAGTGAGGTATGGTTGTAAGACTATACACTTCTAAGGAAACACTCAGATAAGCAAAGAGATATTTATACGCACAACCAGCAGCCATTGTTTTTGAAGGAAAACAGTGAAAGTAAAAGTTGGTAACTCAAGAATACAAAGACAAGTAAGTGCCTTATTTTGCAGCTAATATAATTATCTGGAGCATGCATATTCCTCTGTGTGCATGTAGTCCTTGTTTGCCATTTGGAAAACAGCCCATTAAAAGAATGTCTTGGATTTATTTTTACCAGAAATTCTGTCCTTGTTTCTGTGCCTTGAAAAGTACAGTGTTAGTAGACAGACCTTTGATAATCAAAGCAGAAAATGACTTACACTGCAGAAATGTATATGAAACACTTCTGTTCCTTGCCCCTTGAACTTTGGAGGAATGAAAATGTCTAGCACTCTCCACCTTCTTTTCTCTTCTGGAACTTGAGCCATAACTCAAATCCTCTTCCTCAGCCTGTCTTTTTACAGCTTTAGTTACCATTCAGAGGACGCACTGTCCTAAGGAGACAGAACAGCAGCGTGTTTAAGTAGAGCAGAGCATACTCTGTTTTTCAGAAAGTACTAAAAGTGGTCAATGCTCTGTCCTTCCTCCTCCTCCTCCTCCTCCTTGCCCCCGCCCCCATCCCCTTGAAGTGGGAAGCCGATCAAGCTGAACAGGAGGCAGGTGGCTGCGGGACATCCTCCCCACATACCCCAGGTTGTCACCAGGCCCTGACGGAGCAGAGGATGTGTGCAGTCCCCTGGGTCCACCACGTTGTTCTGCAACGGATGGCCTGCTTGAGAGATTGACCAAGGTCCATCTTGGTAATAAGAACACACTCGCTATTTCTGGTCGAGTACAGAAGAATGGAGGAAAACTTCAGAATTTGAAGACCTGAATACTAGCATACTTCTTCATCTCGAGACAGGCTGGGGAAAGAAGGAAGGGGGAAGTAGGGGAGTCTCCTCTTTTAGTGTTTACCGAACTTGGATCGAGCTAATTGTTCTTGAAGCAGGAAATCTGTAGTCGAGGAAACAGGTGTTGTGGGATGATTATTACATTTTAAAGTGACTGTGTTAACTGTTTTGCTCTTCTGACTTGGACTCCGAAATAGTAAGCTTTTTGGAAGATGCCGTCCCTTTTATGTACGGACTAATACTAAATCAGTGGGTTCTGAAGGAAGGAGAAAGCACTGAAGTGAACTTGAAACCAGATAGCATATGTGCAGCAGTGTTGACAATACCCATTTTTCTTTCTTTTGTTTTTTTTTTTTATGTTTGGCTTTCAGCATTCCATACTTTCAGAAAACTTGTGACTAAGAGTGAATTCTTATTTTTCAAATTGTTTTCAGACATTTCATGTTCATGTAAACTTGGCTTATTGATTTCCTGATTTTTCTTTATTTTTTTGTTTTGTCCATTTTATTTTTAATCAGCTACATCAAATGGGTCTTTGGAGGGCCTGGATAACCAGGAGGGAGGGGTGTGCCAGACAAGAGCCATGAAGATCCTCATGAAAGTTGGACAAGGTAAAGACCATCTGCTGCTTCATGAAGCCACTGTAATCTGGTTCAGCCCCCAGCGAGTGTGGCACCAATGCTGTTAATGCCTGCCTTCACTCACTCGTAGCTTAGTTTTGAAAGCAGACCTCTCTCTGTACCTTGAGCCACTGACAGATTGCCTCAAGTCAGTGTAACAAACTTCTTTTATTGGAGATTCCTCTAAAAACTAAGGTCAGCTAGGTACGATGTCCATTGCTTATATGTATATCTGTATATATACACTTTTTTTTCTTCTTAAAAGTGAAACATCTCTTTGGTTCAACAATTAAGATATCCAGAATGAAAGCTAAGTTTCTGCCATTTTGCCCATTTTTGCGTCTTGACTACAGAAGACTTTAGTCCACAGAGCCTTTTCACATACAGATAACCTATTGTGCAGAATTATTCTTCTAATTAGAAATTGGTATAGTAGTCAATCAACTTGCTCGTTTAAATTGAAATGTCATCTGCAATGCTCTGCCTGCCAAATGCAAGAATCCCTATAGTTTGCACAGATGGCCTCACAATCTAAACCTCTGAAATAACTAGTATAACCGTTTTGTTTTAAAAGGAAAATTATATTCTTGTATGTCACAGTACTTTGCATAAAGAATCTTACGTTCATTGCTATTTATGCCTCTTGATATCTATATCCAGCAGCTCTTAGAGCTAGATCTCATTAGATGTCCCTGGGCTGTAAGTAATCTATTCTTTCTCATATAGATGCAAGTTCCGCTGGGTCAGCCAGGCATAATGATCCAACACGACGCCCAGAACTAGAAGCCGGTACAAATGGAAGAAGTTCAACAACAAGTCCCTTTGTCAAACCAAATCCAGGTATAGCAGCATGAGTGTGTGTGGATAGGTCTGGGTGTCCCCTGCGCCTCATGTCTTAAGAGGAAGGACAGCGTCTGAACACTTGGATGCCAGTGGGATTAACTTGTAGTTTCCAAAGTCGGTAATCTTTGTTCTCAGTTAGTTGTTAGTAAGTTGTTATTAACTACTCAGTAAGAACAGAATAACTCATTCCCATGAAAGGTTGGCATTCAGAAGAGTAGAATTCATTAGATGTCAGTGCCAATTATGAGCACCACTCATTGAGACCAAAGTTACTTTTATTGGTGACGCTTAATCGTGCTGGTTGCAACACTAGCTTAAAGCCAATGTTAATGTATATATAATTAATGTCCTAATCCCTCATCTAATTATATCTAATCCCGAAAGAACCCAATTGATCCTCTCCTACATTTTAGGTGGCAGCATCTTAAAATATTGCATCATGCCGTGTTTTTCAGGTGGTTATCATTGAAATTTTTTTCACCTTTTCGGTGTAAAATAAAACACCAGACGGATCCCTTGGCCAAAGTTTAGAGAATACCAGATAGAGTTGGCTGTCGTCGAACTTCATTTTCTTAACAGTCCTTGAGCAGATAGCTATGTATTTGTTTCCATGCTAATGAAATTTTTATGGGGTGGTTGCCGGGCAGACGTCAGCAGTTTTATATCAGGGATCTGTGCGCCCGGTTGGTCGTCGTGTGAATTTAGCATCTGCAGCGATATATCCCCCTCTTCCCAAGCGTCAAGGAGGGGAGTTGTTATTTCTAACTTTCAGTGACAAGATGTGTCAAATTCTTGTGACAAACTGATAAATGGATAATATAATGATGCCAGGCAATTTTTTCATGCTTAACATTTGGGTTGGCAGCCTGTTCAGTGTGAGCGTTTCTGCTGCCTTCCAAATATATTTTAGGTGTAAATCAAATAATACAAACGAGTTACGAGTTGAACGTCTTCCCAGGCCCCAGCACTCCCCTCGGCGTTCCTGGGCCGGGGTGCCAGTGGGCAGGGCTTGTCTTTAGAAAACAGGCAGTTTGAGATTCCCACGAAGCCAGTGCTGGGGGGAGACTGCCACCACTGCCTTCCTGTGTCACTGATGTGGTCCCTGTGTCCTGGGCCCCAAGACAAGGCCCCAGGCAACGTCACAGCCCCGTCTCTGCAGTGGATGACCAATAACCCATGTGGTCGGGAGCAGCCGGCACACGACCCGGGGTTGCCTTCTGCCACCGGTCCCGGGTGTTGTTGGGGTCTGGCAGCCGCTGGCACCTGTGGTGTGGCCTTGCTCAGGGCCGCCAGTCACCACTCTGCTCCTGTCTCTCCCTGCCCGCCAGGTTCCAGCACCGACGGCAGCAGTGCCGGACATTCCGGGAACAATATCCTGGGTTCCGAAGTGGCCTTATTCGCAGGGATTGCTTCAGGATGCATCATCTTCATCGTCATCATCATCACGCTGGTAGTGCTCCTGCTCAAGTACCGGCGGAGACACCGGAAGCACTCACCGCAGCACACGGCCACCCTGTCACTCAGCACGCTGGCCACGCCCAAGCGCGGTGGCAACAACAATGGCTCCGAGCCCAGTGACATTATCATCCCGCTGCGGACTGCGGACAGTGTGTTCTGTCCCCACTACGAGAAGGTCAGCGGGGACTACGGGCACCCAGTGTACATAGTCCAGGAGATGCCTCCCCAGAGCCCAGCCAACATTTACTACAAGGTCTGAGACTCGGCGGTGCCTTGGCTTTCCCGGAGGAAACCTGCCGTCCCGCTGTTGCCCGAGGAGGGCGTGAGGACCCCCGTGCCTCGCCTGGACTGGAGTGCAGCAGGGGTGGGGGGGACGCCGCGTCTCCTCGGAAGAGCCCTGTTGAGTTGGACAGCTTACCTGGTGTGTAGCGCCCCAGCCGCTGCGGTGGAGACGGACGCTCCCGGGCCGCTGGGAGCCGGGCAGAGAAGGTGCCCCTGCCGCCGGGACTGCAGGAGCTCGCCTCCCACCCCTCCACCTCCAAGCCATGCGCTGCAGTCACTCAGGCCGGGGGGGAGCTGGTGCGGGAGGGTTGGGGGGCCAGGTAGGGGGGTGGGGGCCGAGTGGTGGGTGGGTGAGCCTGGGTGGGGGGCAGACAGGTGTCCCTGGGGCCCTGCCACGCCCAGAAGTGCTGTCCTTGGCCTGGGGTGCCCCTCCTGAGGAGTGCCCGGACTTGTTACACAGACCTCTGGCTGGGGGAGGCTTCCAGCCCACGCTGCGGCCCACCCCTGCTGCCCTGCCACACTTGGCAGGGGAGCCCCTGGCCCTCCACACCCTGCATCACCGCTGGAACACTCATGTTTGGGGTCTCTTGCCCCCCTCACCTGCAACCACAGCTACAGTGGAATCAGTAACACACTTCTAGAAATTGTGTTTGCTAACAAGGAGCCTCCCAACCAGACGCCAGGCTGGGCTGTGAGCCCTGGAAGACAAGGAGTTCGTGGCCGGGGGTGGGCCAGGGGGAAAGAGCTGTCTGCAAATGCAGTAAGCCGCCACTGCCTCTGAAACAGAGAGTCCGGAGGAGGGGGTGTAGACCCAATTAGGTAGCACAGCACTTTGGTTTGGCTGAGATTTTAGGAGGCGAGTAGGAGACACAACAACACACGCAGTGGGGTAGGGTGCCTTTGAAGGAATCCGCTCTGATCAAATGGCAATGTGCAGGCAAAACAGTCCCTCTTCAATGGGGAGAACAAAGGGTCATTGTTGGTAGAGGAACAGGCCTGGAGGGAGGGGACAAGTGGGCCACTGATGACAGATTTGGGCAGGACTGTTGTGGTACTGGCAATAAGACGTACAGCTTTGAGGCTGTGGGAGAGTCGGTCTGCTTTGGATGATGTTTAAAGCAGACTCAGCTGCTATACTGATCACATTTTATTAAACACAGGGAAAGCATTTAGGAGAATAGCAAGCAGAGAGCCAAATCTGACCTAGAAGTTGAAAAGCCAAAGGTCAAACAGGCTGTAAGTCCATCATCATTGATGTTATTGAGGCATTCTCTTATATAAAAGGTAGGTCAGATTCCCCGCCCCTCCCCCATCAAGCCCCCTAACACTTGGGTTTATGGTGGTGCTGTCCTTGTCCTGGCTGCGCGGGCCGGGGGGTGGTACTGAGCGCGGCCCCAGCGCAGCTGCTCTGTGTCTAGGTGAAGCACATGGCGAACCTCTTCAAGTCCTTAAAACGGAAAGAAATGATGATGTCAAGGGGGAAAAGGAAGATAGCACGTATTTATAATAGGTATATAGAACACAAGGGATAGAAAGCAAAAGATTTTTACTAATATATATTTTAAGATTGCACACAAATCACGCCAGAGGATGTGAAATTCACTCGTGGCAACTACGTGGTCCCAGTGCTCCATGCTTAAAAAAGAAAAATTGGACAGCTACTTCTGGGAAAAACAGCATCCCTCCCAAAATAACAATAACGAGAGTAAATGCAAAAATAACCCAGTCCTCTGAAGGCATCTCACGGAACCTAGACTAGGAAATGCAAGCCCCAAACACCAGGAAATGGATGTGACCGCACCACATATTGAACCGTGGCAGGATGTCCCGGCATTTCGTGTCTGTGTTGTGTTTTCCCCTTGCCTTACTGGCTGAAGTGTTCGCTGAAACCCACCAGGTCCCGGGGAGCAGGGGGAGCAGGGGCTGTGGTGGCCAGTCTGGTTCCAGCCCCCTCTCCCTCTTCCTTTCCCCACCCCCTCCCTTCTGGGAAACAAAACGAGTAAACAGGAAACCTACTTTTTATGTGCTATGCAAAATAGACATCTTTAACATAGTCCCGTTACCATGGTAACACTTTGCTTTCTGAATTGGGAGGAAAAAAAATGTAGCAACAGCATTTTAAGGTTCTCAAACCTCCAGTGAGTACCTGCAAAAATGAGTTGTCACAGAAATCATTCCTTCTCTATTTCCTGAACCTGAAAATGATGTTGGTCCAAAGTGCGTGTGTGTCTGTATGAGTGGGTGAGTGGTATACATGTGTACATATATGTATAATATATATCTACAATATATATTATATATATCTATATCATAGTTCTGTGGAGGGTTGCCATGGCGACCAGCCACAGTACATATGTGATTCTTTCCATCACCCTACCCTCTCCTTTCCGTGCATCCATACAAGATTTTCTTGTAAGCCATCAAAAAGTAACCTTGAGGATGGGGGAGAGAGGGGCAAGAAGGGGAAATATGGGAAATAGTCTGATTTTAATGAAATCAAATGTGTGTCTCATCGGTTGGCTACATTTTGGTTATACGCTAAACTGTGAAAAATCAGATGATTTGATGAAGAGTTACCTGCAACCAGTTGGAAAGTGTTCTGTGCGTCTGTTTTGTGTCTGGTGCAGAATATGACAATCTACCAACTGTCCCTTTATTTGAAGTTGGTTCAGCTTTGGAAAGTTACTGTAAATGCCTTGCTTGTATTATCATCCCTAGTCACCTGACTTTGGAATTTGCACCATAATGTTTAAGTGAAGATGCTGTAAATAGGTTCAGATTTTACTGTATATGGATTTGGGGTGTTACAGTAGCCTTATTCACCTTTTTAATAAAAATACACATGAAAACAAGACAGAAATGGCTTTTCTTACCCAGATTGTGTACATAGAGCAATGTTGGTTTTTTATAAAGTCTAAGCAAGATGTTTTGTATAAAATCTGAATTTTGCAATGTATTTAGCTACAGCTTGTTAAACGGCAGTGTCATTCCCCCTTTGCACTGTAATGAGGAAAAAATGGTATAAAAGGTTGCCAAATTGCTGCATATTTGTGCCGTAATTATGTACCATGGATATTTATTTAAAATTTCGTTGTCCAATTTGTAAGTAACACAGTATTATGCTTGAGTTATAAATATTTTTTTTCTTTTCTTCGTTTTATTTTAATAGCCTGTCATAGGTTTTCAGTATGCTTTACTTCCACATTGCAGTCAGCTCCCAGAAACAAAATCCGTGAGGTCACATTCCACGTCTGTTTCAAAACTGAATTTGTTCTTAAAAAAATAAAATATTTTTTTCCTATGGAAAAAGCGCCTTCAAAGTCTTTTCCTCTTTTTTTTCTTTTCCTTTTTCTTTTTCGCTTGTTATTTTCATTTGCTTTCTACTCCATTTCTCTATAGTGACAGTTATCTGGAGCCTTCAGCCCATGGGTGTTTGTGTGCCCATTTTTCAAATCGGCACATGCACGTAATGCAATTGTTAGTCTTGCAAAGGGCCATGAACCTGTTGGTTTCCCTGTAGAACTTCAACTCACATTTCACAAGTAATATTTTATTGTCCAGTTTCAGAAAGTCCTGGCCATCCTGACCAGAAAAGGTCTCTAGTTTCACCCAGATCACACCTTCTGAGCAGTGACCAATTCAGTTGAGAGAGAAGGAAGGAGATGCTCTTGTGTTATCTCAACACTTAATTCTAGATTGATCCAGTTTCCATTCAAGCCAAGCCTTTAGCTGTAGGCAGCTTCATTGTTCTTCCCGGAATAATCCCAAGAGAAAGGAAGAAGTCAAATGTTCTCTGTAAAACTTCATCACTGATGAAACCGTGTTTTGTGATAACCAGATTGAAGCAAGCCAGAGGCCAGTGGGGACTTGAACCACATTTTTAATGCTGGTCTTCCTGGGGAAGGTTCCCCTGGCGCCCTGAGGGTGGGGAATGGTGTCTCCTTGCTCTTGCTAAGACTGGTTGTGTTGTGTTTTCCCCTTGCCTGACATCCCACCCTTGGGGGAGGTCTTCATCTGCAGGTACTGAGTGTAAAGCCGCAGTCGAGGCGGAAACAGCTACTGGTAACTGAGTGCTCAGAGCGCTGGCTGCATTATTACCTCGGGCTAATCCTTACCTTGGGAGGGAGGTACTTTGGGGATGGGTGATGAGAAAGGCCCCTGAGCCAAGGAGCCAGGTGTTCCAGGCCAGGCTGACCAGCCGCTGATCACAGCCCCAGGCAAGGGAAGACTCTATGTTCAGCCCTTCCCCCAGAGGTCCCCATGAAAAGCTGGTTTGTGAAGCAGGAGTCTAGGCAACATCTTCCTGGCATACTGTCCTAAAGAAATGTTTGTGGAATAAATGATTTCCTTCAAAAAAATAAAAAGAAAAGAAAGAAAGAAAGAAAAAAACCCCGGAGCCCTACAATTTCAGGTGATGCTAGAATGATAATTTCATCCACTACATCTTTTTACTCTGAGGCCTCTAACTGGCCCATCACTGCAAGTCCAAGTTTCAGAGCAGTTTCCAGCCCAGTGACTAAGCGGGATGTGCCTCCCTCCACACTGATATCACTAATGAGCAGTCTGGGCTGAAACAAGAGAGCAACAGACAAGTATGGCATTTTTCAACTGACACCGTGGCCTTTGTTACAATTTAAATGACCATAGACATCGTCACTGTTCCCACCTTGTGTTTGAAACTCAGTTCCCTAAATTAGGTAGGCCATGCTGCACAAAAGACAGAAAATTCATCTTGTTGTTACTTTTTATAACTGGTGAGAAGGAAACTTCTAGAAACTTATGGCCGAGGTTGTCACGCTCAGATGCTTTGCCTGAAAGATAAACCCACCCCTGCAGAGTCATTGCCCTGCGCCACTGTGCTCTCCCCAGACTGCCATGGTCCACTCCGCCGTAATGAAACTTTCCTTGTTGGTAAAACACTTGCTGCTCAAACACTGGGAGAAAGGTTCCCAGCGGGAAGGAGAAAAAATAAAAATATCAGTGCTAGCTAACAGTCGTGCACCTTGCTGTCTCTCTGGATCTCACCCAGAAAAGGATCAAAGGCAAAAACAACCCAGGGGAGTAAAAGTCCCCTCCGAGCGGGTGTACAAAGTGATGATTACCCTACTGTTTGCTTGGGTGGCAAGTAGGTCTTCAAGTGGCTCAAAAGGAGACATAATTACTACTGTGCAAAGGATACTAACCTGCATGTTCTGCTGCTTTTTTGTTTCCAGTTGATTTGGGATTATGGTATTTGTGGCATTTACACTATAGATGCACTTGAAGACACATTTTCAGTGTTGTAACAGAAGAGTCTTGCCTATTCT